CCCTGCTCGGCGGGAGGGTCAGCCCCGGAGGGAGAGCGCGATGGAGGCTTCCCTCCGAGGCTGGTGTAGGGGACTCCCTGACCGCCCTGGCACCCTGACCCTGAACCCTGTTCCTGCCCCCCCACCGCTGCAGAACCTTGTTCCCTGCCCTCCTGTCCCTGTTTCCTCTCCCCTGCTCCCAGCCATAGAACTGTCCCCTCGCCCTCTCACTGCAGAAACCTGCCCCCCTCTGCAGAAACCTGTCCCTCAGCCCCCTACCCCCTACTGCAGAAACTTGTCCCCCTGCCCCCCACTGCAGAAACCTGTCTCTCCTCTGCAGAAACCTGTTGCCCCAGGCTCCCTACCCCCCACTCCCTACTGCAGAAACCTGTCCCCTGCTGCAGAAACCTGTCCTCCTAGCACCCTGTTTCCTCTTCCCTGCTCTCAGCCACAGTGCCAGAATAATTGCTGTGAGTGTGACCATCTTGAAATGCTGCTTGCAGACATATTTGTTTGTTTGATGTGAGTCGAGGATGGGCCTCCAACCACCCATTCTTTTTTCCTTCAGGAAATAATTTGAGTAAAATCTTCTTCCCTGATATTCCATGGGTACCCTCTCTGTAGGTCCTATGCATAGGAGGTGTTGGACCTCTTGACGGAGCAGTGCTTTGTGAGAAGGGTCCCTGTAGAGGGATGGGAAAGGTGAGGAGGTTGGAGGAACTGACATCAGGGGAATAGAATATCTGCACTTGATGATTTCCAGGACCCAAGGAAATCAACCCAAGTAATTGCAGCTTACTTGTAAAAAGGATGCAAACAATAATGGAATCTGGTGTACTCGGGTGGCGCTGGTGAAGAGGAGAGGTTGTGCAGGCTATCAATCAAAGCCTCAAACTTTCTGTTTGGAGGCCTGTGGGTTGGACAAGTGGGTGTTAGTAATTTGCCAGAATTGGTTCCTTGACCCGGAATGACTTTGGTTGAATGGTCTTTGCTGTTGTCTGCCATACGAAAAGTCTCTTTGTCTCTAGTAGGGAATGTAACATCTCCTATGGTAGGGGGCATATACATAAGATGGTACGTGAGTCTTTGCAGGAGTGAAGGACTTGACCTGTCTTTGCAGCAAATAATTTGTCCTTATCAAATGGTAAATCCTCGATCTTTGTTTGGAGGTCTTTGGGGATGCCAGCTGCTTGCAGCCATGATATGTGCCTCATCACTATGGATGTTGCTGTTGTGCTTGCCATGGTGTCAGCAGAATCGAGAGCCATTTGCAGTACTGTGCAGGATGTAGTGTATCCCTCTTGAACAATAGATTTTATTATGAGTCTTTTATCATCAGGAATATGTTTCATCAGGCATAACTCTCAAAATCATGACTGGCTAAAAGTACCTCCTTGTCCACATGTTTGTTGACCCATTCAAAGAACTCTAATAGATTTTGAGTTATACTTTATTTTGATCCTAGACATCTAACACTTTGGTCATCTGAAGAAGTGGGCTGTGCCCACTAAAGTTCATGATACCATCTACATGTTTGGTTAGTCTATAAAGTGCTACCAGACTCTGTGTTGTTTTTTCACTTTACCTGTACAGACTAACTCGGCTACCCTCTGAAGCTTCTAATAGATTAGTAAGACATGATTTCCCTTTACAAAAACTATGCTGACTTTAGCCCAACAAATTATGTTCTTCTATGTGTCTGAAAATTATATTCTTTACTATTGTTTCAACTAATTTGCCTGGTACTGACGTTAGACTTACCGGTCTGTAATTGCCAGGATCGCCTCTAGAGCCCTTTTTAAATATTGGCGTTACATTAGCTATCTTCCAGTCATTGGGTACAGAAGCTGATTTAAGGGATAGGTTACAAACCATAGTTAATAGTTCTGCAATTTCATATTTGAATTATTTCAGAACTCTTGGGTGAATGCCATCTGGTTCTGGTGACTTGTTACTATTAAGTTTATCGATTAATTCCAGAACCTCCTCTAATGACACTTCAATCTGTGACAATTCCTCAGATTTGTCACCTACAAAGGACAGGTCAGGTTTAGGAATCTCCCTAACATCCTCAGCCGTGAAGACTGAAGCAAAGAATTCGTTTAGTTTCTCTGCAATGACTTTATCATCTTTAAGTGCTCCTTTTGTATCTCGATTGTCCAGGGGCCCCACTGGTTGTTGAGCAGGCATCCTGCTTCTGATGTACTTAAAAAACATTTTGTTATTACCTTTTGAATTTTTGGCTAGCTGTTCTTCAAACTCCTTTTTGGCTTTTCTTATTACATTTTTACACTTAATTTGGCAGTGTTTATGCTCCTTTCTATTTACCTCACTAGCATTGGACTTTCACTTTTTAAAAGATGTCTTTTTATCTCTCAATACTTCTTTTACATGGTTTTTAAGCCAGGGTGGCTCTTTTTTTAGTTCTTTTACTG